TTACCACCTCTTACCCGCTTCTTCAAGGTCGCGCTGACCGTAAGACCTAAGTCACGAGACCACGCAAACACAGTCTGAGTCGTGTCTCTCGGTCAAGGCAGTTCTACAAGTACAAGCGCTGTTTAATTTTAACGTGGTTATTTTAAATAAGGGCCTACTTCTAGATTCAAGAAAAAAAAAAACTAGAACTGCATCGTTTTATATCATTAAACAAAATATGTAGGCCTGCTATAATTTAGTTACACAATCTAGCAGGGTCTACATCTAATTGTTTTTTTTTTACTTTGGTAAAACGTCATTGAAATGTTTAAAAAACCTTGAAGTACCGTGTCTGAGAAAATAGCCGCTATTACTGCCCCCCCCCCCCCCCAACCGCTTGTAAAAAAAAATCAGCTTTTCACTTAGTCGGGCGGCTACATCTCTGACATGAGTATTACTAGCGTAGTTACTTCAAAAATTATTTTTAAAATTAACTTAATTCTGTTATTCCGCGATATGGACTTAAAACTTCCACGATATTTCTTCACGTCATCATGTATATCAATGGTGGGGGCGTTGGGGTCGTTCATAAATGACGTCACACTCGTAAGGGGAGGGGGGTTCGTAATTTTGTCATGAGGGGGAGGGGTTCAGATGGTGTGACATCACACTTTTGCATTATCCAAAAGCTATGTTAGAAAACGAATTTTAGCCGTTATTTCGCGTTTTAGAATATTGTTTCAATAAAGTGTAATAGGAATTGATTAAAATACTCTATGTTGACAGAGGTCAGACACGATTCTTGGAAAATATCGTATTTTAAGAAAAATTCGACTGCAATTTTTAGGGGTGGGGGGGGGGGGGTGTAGGCTGAGGTGTGACGTCATTTTTAGAGGGCGGGGTCTGGCTTTTTGTGACAGATATGTGACCGAGGGGAGGTGGGAGGTAAAAATCGTCAAAAAAGCGTGACATCATTTATGGATGACCCCATTGGTGGTTGATTGGGAAAACAGGGTTTTAGGTCTTTGTTGTGGCTGTTAATAATTAAAGCCTTGAATAGCTACAGTAAGTCAACCCTGTATTTTAATACAGTGACAATCTTATTAGGGGTCTGCATATAGTGCGCTTATTATTCAATAACAAGACATAGAGGTTAGCAATTGGCTGACTACACACTTTAAATCAAGCTAGGAAGTTCTCAAAAATTAAATACAGTAATGTTATAAAAGCTGGCTGGGAGGGGGGGGGGCGGAGTTCTACAATAGCACATTATGGGGTAGGCCTAGATATGGGACTAACATTGTAAACTAATTTTGTTGTAAGCACAATCCTTTAAAGATTAATTTTTATTTGAAGCTTGTTACAAAGAAAATAAATCCATTTTAAAGGAATGTAAATTGAACATAATATGAATCAAATGTCTCAAAAAATAATGAAATAATAGTCCATTTTATTTTGAAATTCCGTGCGAAATTAAGTTTCAGGGTTTCAAAAATTTCAAATTTTAGTTTCAGGATTGGTAAAATTTTGGGATTCATTTTCAGGATTCACTTAGAAAATGAGTGGCACCCCTGTATATATATATATATATATATATATATATATATATATATATATATATATATATATATATATATATATATATATATATATATATATATATATATATATATATATGAATATATATAAGAGCTGATATTGATATCAACCCCCTCTCACCCTCAAAATTTTGCCTAATGACGTCAATTTTTTGCGCACATTTTCCTAATCCACCTATTAATTCAATTTTCGTACCATAGTAAATTATTAGATATAGTGCCATCCCCACTACGGTCATTGAGTGACTAATCAGTTATTGAAAATTTTCAACAAAACATCTTTTCCTCTGTAAAATTTGAATTTGGTGTCACCCCTCCCTCCAAGCTTTAAGATTTGCATAACTAATGGTACGATGTTTATCTATAGTCGGTTATTAATATCGATTGGAGTAGCATTGTTTTCTCTATAGTAAGCACGTTTACATCATGGTGTCAACATATCTCCGTGCTGGGATATTGAATTAATCATTACAACTGGCAACAATAATTTTTCTTCTATATAATTTGCTTTGTTGTCACCCCCCCCCCCCATAAATACCCCTTCGTACCCCCCCCCCCATCCATCACGACGCCTCAGCATCACATTTTACTTGTTAAAGTTATCCATAGAAAGGGAGTGAACCAAAATTTTCAAACTTATTTTGTATCGTACAAATAAATGAATAGGCTACAATAGCGAGATAATTTGCTATCCTCCATACACAAGATATATTAACTTTGACAGACGAATGGGTCACATATAAATTCTGGTTAAATTCTGGTTAAATTCTGGTTAAATTCTGGTTAAATTCTGGTTAAATTCTGGTTAAATTCTGGTTAAATTCTGGTTAAATTCTGGTTAAATTCTGGTTAAATTCTGGTTAAATTCTGGTTAAATTCTGGTTAAATTCTGGTTAAATTCTGGTTAAATTCTGGTTAAATTCTGGTTAAATTCTGGTTAAATTCTGGTTAAATTCTGGTTGAATTCTGGTTGAATTCTGGTTGAATTCTGGTTGAATTCTGGTTAAATTCTGGTTAAATTCTGGTTAAATTCTGGTTAAATTCTGGTTAAATTCTGGTTAAATTCTGGTTACATTCTGGTTAAATTCTGGTTAAATTCTGGTTAAATTCTGGTTAAATTCTGGTTAAATTCTGGTTAAATTCTGGTTAAATTCTGGTTGAATTCTGGTTGAATTCTGGTTGAATTCTGGTTGAATTCTGGTTAAATTCTGGTTAAATTCTGGTTAAATTCTGGTTAAATTCTGGTTAAATTCTGGTTAAATTCTGGTTAGATTCTGGTTAGATTCTGGTTAGATTCTGGTTAAATTCTGGTTAAATTCTAGTAAAATTCTGGTAAAATTCTGGTAAAATTCTGGTAAAATTCTGGTAAAATTCTGGTAAAATTCTGGTAAAATTCTGGTAAAATTCTGGTAAAATTCTGGTAAAATTCTGGTAAAATTCTGGTAAAATTCTGGTAAAATTCTGGTAAAATTCTGGTAAAATTCAGGTAAATTTCTGGTAAAATTCTGGTAAAATTCTGGTAAAATTCTGGTAAAATTCTGGTAAAATTCTGGTAAAATTCTGGTAAAATTCTGGTAAAATTCTGGTTCAATTCTGGTTCAATTCTGGTTCAATTCTGGTTCAATTCTGGTTCAATTCTGGTTCAATTCTGGTTCAATTCTGGTTCAATTCTGGTTCAATTCTGGTTCAATTCTGGTTCAATTCTGGTTCAATTCTGGTTCAATTCTGGTAAAATACTGGTTCAATTCTGGTTCAATTCTGGTTCAATACGGACCACAACTGGACTGGAGCCATCTAATGTATTTTTATCTTCCTGTTATAGAGATTCTTTTTACCGCGACAATATTCGCAGCTCAATGGCACATAACGGCTCATTTAAGTTATGAATAATCAATACCCGTGTGTGAGGTATAGGCGACAGTTTAGTTAGAGAGATGGAGCTTAATTCTGTCATGTGTTTCAATTGTGTGGGGTGGGGGGGGGTGGGGGGGAGAAAACTACCGTTTTGACCAGCCTGATCATTTGACAAAAAGAAAAACTAATTTAAAACGATACTACGTAGTTAGGCACTGATTAGCAACAGACACGTTCTCCATGTGACCTACTTATGACCCCCCCCCCCCCACTACGGACTCCATGTGACCAACTTATCCCCCGCCCCATCCCTATATATTCCATGTGACTAACCAATTCCCCTCCCACCACGTACTCCATGTGACCTACTTATGACCCCCCCCCCCCCCACAAAGTACTCCATATGACCAACCAAGCCCCCCCCCCCCGCCCATCCTCATGTACTCCGACCAACCAATGCCCTTCCCCTCCCAATCCCCATGGGACCAAAATATGCCCCCCCCCCCATCCCATGTACTCCATGTGACCATCTTATGACTCCCCCACCCCTTCTTTCTTAACACAATGACCAACTTGTGACCCCCTTACAAAGGTAGGTTTATTATTGATCACATTTATTAAAACATTTTTGTCCCGTTTGTTTTTCATCAACGTTAGGTTCAATGTTTATTAATATGAGTTGATTAGATTCACTGTGCCAGTAATAGGAAAATATGCTAGAAAGATTTAACTATATCACGAGGGTACCTTCTATGTAATTACTACTTGGGGCGATAATACGCAAGTGTATGTGCAGAGGCGTAGCGACCCTTCCCGGCGCCCGGGGACAAACTTTCGATTTGCACCCCCCCCTCGAACTTTTCATTTGCACCCCCCCCCCCCAAACTTTCAATTTGGCGCCCCCCCCCCCCCCCCAAGGTCGGCACCCGGGGACGTATGTCCCCCCCCCCCGTCCCCTCGCTACGCCTCTATGTGTGGGGAAGGGGGGGGGTAGGGGTGAGTAATGGCCATAGATCTAGATTATTAAAAAATACATTTATAAGAATATAGAGCAATGCAAGAGAGGTCACTGACCCATATTAGAGGATTCATATTAATAAATAGGCCTATTAATTATTGAAAGAAAAAGCATGCAATCGGAATAAACTTTACTTAGAATCTAAAACAAAATTAAACCGATTTAAATAAAAAATGAATAATTACAAACTAAAATAAAGAAATGCTAGTAATTAAAGTCTCTTATTACAATAATAATACAATTCAATGAAAACATGTTATGATGAAATAAACAGTTATGGGTGGAACGAGACTAGCGTCACGAATTTCTCAAATGCGAGCAATGTACTGGGTTGGTACAATGTCATTGCCAGCTATTTCATCAGCTGAGAAAATACGAGCGACGTGGAGCGTTTTCAAGTATAGAAGGTCACATGACAAATTTAAGCCAATAGTTTTTCGACAAAGTATCAACAACGCCGTTCGCTGTTCTTTCAGCAACGCGTAGTCTCTACTTCAATGGATCCATTCATACACACATTTTGCGCGAGCCCATTCTATTTTTAACCTTTTTAGACGTGGGGCTATCGGGTAGTGTTACGTGGCCATAATAAATTTTTAGGTTATATAATATAAAGCTAGAATATTCTTAATAATAGATATTCTTTGCAATATCGAAAAACATAGTAAAAGTAAGTAGATATACAACGATAATTTTAAAGCATAATAGAAATTCGATTTAAAATAACTCTTTAAAAAAGTATTTTACTGTTGGTTTTATAATTAAAAAAAATTGCAGTTAATATTTTTTCTTTTTTTTTCTGAAAAGTTTTTAATTTGCCATATCCCCCCCCATCCCCGCAATATTTATCACATAAATGGAGGGGGGGGGGGGAGGCAAGGTGTTAACGTGCATTCGCCACTATTAATCCTAAATGACGCTAAATGTTACCCCCGCAAATATCCTGCAAAATATTAACATACTATATATATATATATATATATATATATATATATATATATATATATATATATATATATATAATATATATATATATATATATATATATATATATATATATATATATATATATATATATATATATATATATATATACCTATATAGGCTATATTTTCTAATTGAAAGAAAAAATAATTACGAGCCTGCAATATTTGTAGGCATACATTAAAAACATGCGTACTTTGTTCATGTTTTCAAATGCTATTAAAAATTAAAATATAGTAATGTTGGTGACATCGAATTTCGCTTTTGCGCTAAAAGTTCCTACACAAAAATAAACACCTATCATAATTAAGATTCAATTTGATTCTTAAGTGATGATGTTATACTAAACATTTATAGCGGTTGCATAAAGTGATGAAAAAAAAAAAAAAAAAACAACTACGACGTTAAACTATTTTTTTTTGCTCTGAAACCCATGACTTCAGCATGACTTAGTTATATTTAGTCTTCCATATAAGGTAAAATATTGGGAATTCCCTGCGTCATTAGTCACGTGGCTAGAAACCATAGTTTCATTTTTCTTTAACAAAAAAAGAAGTACTTTTGAATGTAAACAGCAAAACTTAGGACAATCTGTTATAATATATAAAAAAAGTAACATTTAGAAATAATATTTGCTGTGAAGTAGATTTTAACTTAGGTTAAATTGAAAAAAATCCTCTGTTTATTTTTTTCAGCGCACGAATACAAGAGAAAGCACATCCTGCCTGAGTGATTGCAATATACCGTGTCACTCCAAGATTCATTATGGCGTCGTCGGTTGATTCTTTACTTGTGCTGTTTTAAAACTCGGAGGGGCGGTTAATGCAACCCTTCCTAGGTTTAAAACAAGATCCAAAATAACTGCTGGATTGTCAAGATTGAATCAAACCAAATTTTTACAACAATTGTTCTTTCGTGTGTTATTTATTGACTTGACACATTTTGTTTGAGTTCAGAAAGATCGAGAGCAGACAGAAAGGGACGGGTTGGTGAGTCATTCAGATTCCACTCTTTGATGTAACCGCCACCCAACAGCTGTATACAGTACATTGAACTACAACAGCATGAGGTTATAACAAAATATTCTTTCATATTTTCAAGAATTAAAATGGAATACAGCTTCTAGTTGAAAAGACTTCTGGATTTTTCTACAGCTTGCTGTGTTATTTCATCATAATATTCAACTGCGTCTTTGTTTATAACGGATTGCGTTGTATTGTGATATTCGCCTGACATAAGCTTACACTTGCTGGTGTAATGGCTATCATGAAACACTTTTAACTTTTAGTGTAACTATTCCTATTCTGAATTATGAAAATGTGTATGTGAAATTTATTCGCCATTTCCAAGGAGTTTGACACTTGTGTCTCACCTTTTTTGACTTACCTGACTTAACTTTTTGAGATTTAGACTAGTATTGCATAATCATTTGTAACTGAAAATGGCACATATTTTATCATTATTCAGTCAGCAAAGGACTTTAATTACATGTGACTCGTGTGTTAGTGTCATTGTTATCATGAAAAACTTGAGTGTCTTCAGCAACTTGTGATTTATTCTACTAACAATTTAACATTTCAAAATGGCCGGAATACCTCCTCTACCTCAATCTACTTTCAAGTCAGGTGCTCACATTTGACACTTGACTTGTCAAAAGACATATACCAGGCAGCATTCAGTAATTGTTTACCTTGATAACCTTTGGTGCTACATTGTGCATATTATTTGTAAATACTAGTGTACATTACATCAAATACATCTGTGATTTCAGGATTCCGGACCATTACACTAATTAGCGCAACCTGTTAGTGTTGTTCTTGTCCACTTTTTTATTCCCTACCATTCCCAGTTGGTTCTATGAACCTACAGCGTCAACGGCCACGACTGCAGATAAGTCATGGCCCCAAAAAGAAAGTGGAATATGAACAACCACCTGACTTAAATAGTTTATCACCTGATTTACAGCCATGTTCGCCCCCATCATTTTTTCATTCTGAAAATGGATTGGCACCAGTTCAAGACCAATACCTTCAGATTGGAAAATATATTATACATCAAGCCAACCCATCTAATGAAAATTGTACTGCAATAAATAAGATCAATGGAGAGGAATTTATTTGCAAGGTAAGTTAGGTTTAGGGGCCCATCTAAAATATATATTATAGTTATATGGGCCTATGCTCTTAAACTATCAAACAGGTGTTCTATAATTTTAGCTATTGGAGGTACCTTATTGTCACCTTCAATTGTGTTGGTTTAAAGTTAAACATTTAAATACAGGCCTCTCTTATTTAATGAATAGGCCTAGGGCCTATAGATTCCTAATTCATACAATTCTAACCAAGGTAAATCATCAAACCTATACTATATATATAGATCTATAAGCTATTAATTTTATTAGTTTCTTTTTCTCTAGAAGTCTAGACACTTGAAGTTTAAGCATGCACACAAACATACAGGTCTAAGAACAGCCAAACTGGTTCATTCAATTGAAAATTTATTAGGTCTTCTCTCAGCCAGATTAAATAACAATGTTTGGCTACTTACTAAATCATTAATTTTTTATAGGAAAGGCCTACACCAAACTTCAAGAAAAAAATAAAATATCCACAAGGATAGCAACCTTAAAAAATATTTTGCAGTCTACCCTAATAAACATAAAATTTGGGCCTGATCTATGTTTTTTTATATTCGTGTCAACAAATATTTTAAATAGTAGTGTTAGTAGTCAAGTAGACCTATTCAATATTACTAGCAAATGTCAACTATAATATAGCACATTAAAGTTAAACAAAATACTAATTGAAAAGTGAAACAATATTTTTAATATCTTCACCAACAATCCCCCCCCCCCCCTCTTCTTGATGACATCGCTAAGAATGTATTGTATAGATGTCGATCAATTTTGGATAAAAGATAAAGATCTAAAGTTCACGTAAGACTAAGAACAATTTATTAAAGACCAATTCAATGGCAATAGTTTCCCTTCTGGTTGTGGGGTGTGAACGAAGTAATTTTTAAAAATCAAAAATCTAGATCTCTAGATTCTAGGCTAAATTTAAAAAAAAAAAAAAGAACAACACATATTCTAGTTTAGTCAAACTACTTCGCGTACACTTAAATTGGCAAAGTAATGTTTAGGCTAGGGAAAGTCTAATGATGGAAACAACGGTTTGCCCGCCCTACGCTTTTCACTTCTGGTTACATCAGTTAGGCCTGTACCACGAGCTACTGTGCTTAACGTTATGAAAGGAAGTAGAGCTCTGACGCGGTGTGTTATTTTTATCCCGTTAGGCTCGTCTCGCATGATTCCTTAGGCTACGTTATGTGCGCGTTTTTAAACTAGAGCGGTGTTACAGCATTGGTTAGAACTTAAAATCTTCATTCAGCACAAGAGTGTTAAAAAAGAAAATACTATCTTGACGTTTTCTAATTATGAGTAATTCTCTAAAGCTAGCCTACGTGATATTTTAGCACCGGTTAGGTTGGCATAGACATGTATTTGGTTGTGGTGGAGGGGAGGTGTTGAAGCGGGATGACGGCCTCTTTGTTCGGTGGGCCAGTCGACCGCCACAAAAGATAGGCCGTCACTGGCAGCTGTCTGACCGGACGTATAGGAAGATTAACATTCCTATGAGGCGGTGGGGTCAAAAGGGGTCATTTAAGTGCATGACATTTACGAGATAGTGATTCGGTCAGCGTTATGAAGGTCTTTAAAAGAAACAATGTAGTTCACATAGAATGATGACCTTTAAGTTAACGTACTGTCTCGCTTGAATATTAAATTTAGCGTGTATTTGTTTTTATTTTAGTAAGGCTTATCATATCAAACGTATGTGAGTCAATTGTTATATTTATTGAAACTTTTAAAAAGTTCTAAAATTTTCAACTAGTGTAGTGTTATAAGGTAGATCAAATTTGAAGCTATCATTTTTCTGAATGTTGTTATTTTATTTTCAGGTGCTACCTATAGGTAAATATAGGCAAGCAATAGCTCCATACCTGGCAACTGACGGCCATCCAAACATAGCCAACACTTGGGAGATCATTCTTGGTGAAACATCAGCTTATGTATTCTTTGAGAGAGGCTATGGAGACTTGCACTCGTATGTTAGGGAGAAAAAGAAGTTGAAACAGGCTGAGGCTCGAGATCTTGCTCGCCAGATAGTTTCTGCAGTCAACCACTGTCACGAGAATGGTGTTATACTGCGGGATCTTAAGCTGAGAAAATTTGTCTTTAAAAATGCTGAGAGGTAAGTTAAACTTGACAGTTTCTTTTGAACAGAAAAATATTCAGAACTAATAGTTTTCAGATAAGTGTATTTCATAGGTTAGTAACTAAAAAGAAATTTCACTCAACTTAAGTTACCTTTTGTTGTATTTACATTTGAATTTCACTTAATCTTTATAGTATCATATGGTTATTATAAAGATGAAAAACTTCTATTTTTTTCAGAACTGAATTGCGTCTTGACGGCCTAGATGATGCCATCATTCTAGAAAATGAAAACGCTTCTGACACCCTGACAGACAAACATGGCTGCCCTGCTTATGTCAGTCCAGAAATTCTGTCTGCACGCAACGGCTACTCAGGGAAATGTGCTGACTTGTGGAGCTTAGGTGTTATGATCTACACCATGCTCGTTGGTCGTTACCCTTTCCATGACAGAGAGCCCATCGTGTTGTTTGGGAAAATCAGGCGTGGCGCTTATAAGATTCCGGATTCAGTCCCAGCTAGAGCTAAGTGCCTGGTGCGTAACCTTCTACGCCGTGAGCCTAGCGAGAGGTTGAGTGCTGCTGAAGCTCTGGACCACCCGTGGTTTACTCGGCCCCTGATGGTGGAGCCACCCAACAGGCCTGTAGTTGTACAGAAGGGTGTGGACCAAACCGTGCCAGATTACGAGTACCACTTGGATGATGTGTCTCTAGATTCTTCTCTACCAAACTAGGCTGGTCTTCTTAGCTTCTTAGCCCCACCATTATCTGTTAAACATCTGATTTCATTATACCCAGGATTTTCATCTCAAAGATGTTTTTGGACAGTTTGTTGTTTTACTGTGGTTTAACCAAACCTAATGTTACTAGACTGACGTTGAGCATCTGCTGTAGGCAGTAGTTCATGTTATGTTTGATGGTTGGTAATGTGCAGCTAGAATTTGATAAACTTTCAATTTTAATACTTATTTTTAAATTTAACTTTTCAATTACCTAATCTGAGAGTTTCATCTTTGAAGTATACAATCATTAAAAAAAGTAAAAAAAAAAATTGTGTGTGTTATAACCATGTAGGCTACTGTAAGCAGGAAACACATTACCTTTTTTTTTGGCACCCTTTTTCTGTTTAAGATCAACTTGTTGATGATTTAACCAACTTGTCGATTATTTAATTTACTTTTGTACATGATACTCTGTGATATATATGGGGCAGAAGTTACTTCAAAGCTTGATCTGGAGCTAAAATTGTTTTTTTTTTTTCGTTTCTATTTATTTTTAACTATAGTGGAATATGATCAGAAATTCTTACATAACCATTAGCAAAAAAAAAATTGCGTACATTAAAATATCTAAATAATCCAATAATGAAGATCTCTAAAAGTGATAAAATGGCACTCATTAGGGATTTGCATGTTGCTTTAGTTTTGTAAAATCATCTTTTCATCATATCACTCACTATACTAAATGTAATCCAATGTTATTGTTTACTTTATGTAATGGTATTAGTTAATTTAAACAGAAAAAACAAAAAAAAAATGACTTCTGAATCCCATGAAGTGGTATCAAGAAGAGTTTTTAATTTATTGTAAGATTTTGGTTAAAGAAGTGGAGAAAGGTTGTGTGAGTGTTTTCAAGCAATCAGTCTGTTGTCAATGTGAATCTTGCCATTGCTGATGATGCAATCCATGTGAAGATTTTTCTCAGGCAATTATGAAAGCAATGAACAAAATATTACTGCTGTCAGGGCATCAAGTGCTTGCTCCAGCTGTTTGAACCTGCTTGTGTTGTATGGAAGTGAAACAGGACAATACTTTGAGGAGGCCTCGCCTACATGCTAGGCTAGGTGGTTGATTCTGTGTAACATTAGGAGCAGGATTTACTGGACTTCATTACATGATAAAATGCTGTGTCAGCACAGCACTATGACACTAAATTCTCATGGAGAGGAATACAATCAATGATACAATCTCAATGCAAGTTTGTATGGACCACTATCAGAAGAAAATTGTGTCTGCAAGATTACTTATACTAATGTAATAGTTGCAATGTTTTAAAGGTTTTACTACTTTATTAAAAGCAAACTGTTCTAGTGCCATAAATATTGTACATGTGCAATGGACATGATAAAGCTATATGCTAGTATTTAATTTATTCACTCACAAACATGGTCATTAATGACGAACAGCAGCTTAGCAATATGATATGAATTATAAGCTGGGCTGGCAGATATTGAACTGCCTGTAGCTAGTTTTGTGATAGAGACAATTTAATAAAAACTAAGAGCAACATGAGTCAAGTGAAGGCATTTACATTGTACAGTATAAATTACATGTGAAGATGGAGACCAATGGTACACATTGATATAAAAACTGATTGACTGATGATATGTGGTTGATTTCATTTTTTCTGATCTCGTATTTCTGATGGATTTGGACAGTACTTTAGCTACAAGCTGCGGTTGATTGGGATTACAGGAGTGAGGTATTGTATGGGATTCATTACTGATACCAACTTGAGTGTATTTCCTACAACTAAATGTTTCAAATCCCTGTGACATTTTTTTTCTACGTTTTACACTCTTCTGAAAGAACAGATATTTCACAGATCATGAAACATGTTAACGCCATTACATTCTATTTATGATGTATTATTATAGCTGTTGTTTTTTTAATTTTTTGTTGTTAGTATTTTATTCCTGTGATGTCATCAACTTTAAAATTATTTAGTAAGATTGTCTGATTGAAGCTGGCACTATTGTGTGAGAAATTGGCATGCTTTAGTTTTTATGACTGTATCTTAATTGATCATTGTCTTTATTACCATGTCATACCATTTTTTAATGCAGAGGACACATTGTTTACCGTCATTGGATAAAATAAATATGATTTTTCAAATGCGGAATTGTTTGTTATTGATGATGAAGTGTTATAGTATGTTTTTAGTATCTTATTGTATGGTGAAATAAGAAAAGTGACTCGCTGATTTTTTAGGGTAATATTTAAGTCTTGTGTTAGCTTTACTTTCAGATTCAGAATTATACTAAGATTATAGATAATTAATTTTTTAACCAAACTTCGCTGTCTCTTACATTGATAATGCCCTAACATCTTCGACAATGCTCAAATGCCTTAGGACCTGTCACTTTGGTTTTTCCTATATAGTTCACAATTTTTAAAGTATTTGGTTGATACTCGTTTTAATTGCGTCTGATGAAAATACTGGTAGGAAAATCCTGTTGTATTTTTATTTATTTTATTATTCTGCAGTTATCACTGTTTCTAGATTAAGATTCTAATTTTATTGTTCTGGAAACAGCTAGGGCAAGGGTGATAAGACTAGCAACAGATGAATTCCATGAATGCTTTCTGAAGCCATTATATAGTACAGAATTTGTTCTATTTCTATATAGAACATTCTTTAATTGTAAGAAATTATTTTTAGTCTTGTTTTAAAATCTTTAGGACATTGTAAAACAATGGAGAGGGCAGAGAAGTAATAAAATACTTAAAAAAAACTTTTTAAAAAACCACGTTTTTCTTGTGGACTAAAAAGTAGAAAATAACTATTTACATACATTTGATGACAAAAAACGTGGGTACGTTCACCATCAAATTTCCCGACCCACGTTTTTTGTCATCAAATGTATGTAAATAGTTATTTTCTACTTTTTAGTCCACAAGAAAAACGTGGTTTTTTAAAAAGTTTTTTTTAAGTATTTTATTTTCTCCTCTTTAGTCCGTTGCTACACATGAAAAACGTGGTTTTTAAAAAAAGTTTTTTATATAGTTTATTTTCTACTTTATCCAATGACTTGATTAAGTATGACTTGACTAAGTGTTTATAAATACACGGACTAAAAATCTTGAGCGACCAGGATTCGAACCTGGGTTGTCGCGGCCACAACGCGAAGTACTAACCACTATACGATCACGGTCAGCGCGCTCACATCGATTGGGGCCGAAGTAACTGTGTCAATAGGTCTTCAGTCTTGTCGGTATCTTTAGAAATCATGTCCTCAATTTTATGGTCCTTAGGGCGTAATTAAATTAAGCTTATTACGGTCTCTAATTGCTAGTTTTTATGATTGCATCTGAAATTGTTAGGCGAAAGTAACCTGCACGCCAAATTTCAGATCTATAGAGCAATAAGAAGTGGGCTAATTTTCGATGTCAATTTTAACAACAAACACATCCACAAACGCGAAGCTGAGTTAAGAAAAACGTGTTAAAATAAAATGGCTCTTTGTATCAATAAAAGTTAAGCTAACTTTGTGAGCAGTCTGAGCTGAGCCATCATTCTGTAGGCTGAGCTGAACCATCATTCTGTAGGCAGTCTAAGCTGAACCATCATTCTGTAGGCAGTGTAAGCTGAACCATCATTCTGTAGGCAGTCTGAACCATCATTCTGTAGGCAGTCAAAGCTGAACCATCATTCTGTAGGCAGTGTAAGCTGAACCATCATTCTGTAGGCAGTGTAAGCTGAACCATCATTCTGTAGGCAGTGTAAGCTGAACCATCATTCTGTAGGCAGTGTAAGCTGAACCATCATTCTGTAGGCAGTGTAAGCTGAACCATCATTCTGTAGGCAGTCTGAACTGAACCTTCATTCTGTAGGCAGTGTAAGCTGAACCATCATTCTATAGGCAGTGTAAGCTGAACCATCATTCTGTAGACAGTCTGAACTGAACCATCATTCTGTAGGCAGTCTGAACCATCATTCTATAGGCAGTCTAAGCTGAACCATCATTCTGTAGGCAGTGTAAGCTGAACCATCATTCTGTAGACAGTCTGAACTGAACCATCATTCTGTAGGCAGTGTAAGCTGAACCATCATTCTGTAGACAGTCTGAACTAAACCATCATTCTGTAGGCTGAGCTGAACCATCATTCTGTAGGCAGTCTAAGCTGAACCATCATTCTGTAGGCAGTCTGAGCTGAACCATCATTCTGTAGACAGTCTGAACTGAACCATCATTCTGTAGGCAGTGTAAGCTGAACCATCATTCTGTAGACAGTCTGAACTAAACCATCATTCTGTAGGCTGAGCTGAACCATCATTCTGTAGGCAGTCTAAGCTGAACCATCATTCTGTAGGCAGTCTGAGCTGAACCATCATTCTGTAGGCACTCTGAACTGAACCATCATTCTGTAGACAGTCTGAGTTGAACTGAACCATCATTCTGTAGGCAGTCTGATCTGAACTGAACCATCATTCTGTAGGCTGAGCTGAACCATCATTCTGTAGGCAGTCTGAACTGAGCCATCATTCTGTAGGCAGTCTGAACTGAACCATCATTCTGTAGACAGTGTAAGCTGAACCATCATTCTGTAGGCAGTCTGAACTGAACCATCATTCTGTAGGCAGTCTGAACTGAACCATCATTCTGTAGGCAGTGTAAGCTGAACCATCATTCTGTAGGCAGTCTGAACTGAACCATCATTCTGTAGGCAGTCTGAACTGAACCATCATTCTGTAGGCAGTGTAAGCTGAACCATCATTCTGTAGGCAGTCTGAACTGAACCATCATTCTGTAGTCAGTGTAAGCTGAACCATCATTCTGTAGGCAGTGTAAGCTGAACCATCATTCTGTAGGCAGTCTGAACTGAACCATCATTCTGTAGGCAGTGTAAGCTGAACCATCATTCTGTAGGCAGTCTGAACTGAACCATCATTCTGTAGGCAGTCTGAACTGAACCATCATTCTGTAGGCAGTGTAAGCTGAACCATCATTCTGTAGGCAGTGTAAGCTGAACCATCATTCTGTAGGCAGTGTAAGCTGAACCATCATTCTGTAGGCAGTCTGAACTGAACCATCATTCTGTAGGCAGTCTGAACTGAACCATCATTCTGTAGGCAGTGTAAGCTGAACCATCATCCTGTAGGCAGTGTAAGCTGAACCATCATTCTGTAGGCAGTGTAAGCTGAACCATCATTCTGTAGGCAGTGTGAGCTGAACCATCATTCTATAGGCAGTGTAAGCTGAACCATCATTCTGTAGGCTGTCTGAACTGAACCATCATTCTGTAGGCAGTGTAAGCTGAACCATCATTCTGTAGGCAGTCTGAACTGAACCATCATTCTGTAGGCAGTCTGAACTGAACCATCATTCTGTAGGCAGTGTAAGCTGAACCATCATTCTGTAGGCAGTGTAAGCTGAACCATCATTCTGTAGGCAGTCTGAACTGAACCATCATTCTGTAGGCAGTCTGAACTGAACCATCATTCTGTAGGCAGTGTAAGCTGAACCATCATTCTGTAGGCAGTCTGAACTGAACCATCATTCTGTAGGCAGTCTGAACTGAACCATCATTCTGTAGGCAGTCTAAGCTGAACCATCATTCTGTAGGCAGTGTAAGCTGAACCATCATTCTGTAGGCAGTGTGAGCTGAACCATCATTCTGTAGGCAGTGTGAGCTAAACCATTCTGTAGGCAGTCTGAACTGAACCATCATTCTGTAGGCAGTGTGAGCTGAACCATCATTCTGTAGGCAGTGTAAGCTGAACCATCATTCTGTAGGCAGTCTGAACTGAACCATCATTCTGTAGGCAGTCTGAACTGAACCATCATTCTGTAGGCAGTGTAAGCTGAACCATCATTCTGTAGGCAGTGTAAGCTGAACCATCATTCTGTAGGCAGTCTGAACTGAACCATCATTCTGTAGGCAGTCTGAACTGAACCATCATTCTGTAGGCAGTGTAAGCTGAACCATCATTCTGTAGGCAGTGTAAGCTGAACCATCATTCTGTAGGCAGTCTGAACTGAACCATCATTCTGTAGGCAGTCTGAACTGAACCATCATTCTGTAGGCAGTGTAAGCTGAACCATCATTCTGTAGGCAGTGTAAGCTGAACCATCATTCTGTAGGCAGTCTGAACTGAACCATCATTCTGTAGGCAGTCTGAACTGAACCATCATTCTATAGGCAGTGTAAGCTGAACCATCATTCTGTAGGCAGTCTGAACTGAACCATCATTCTGTAGGCAGTCTGAACTGAACCATCATTCTGTAGGCAGTCTAAGCTGAACCATCATTCTGTAGGCAGTGTAAGCTGAACCATCATTCTGTAGGCAGTGTGAGCTGAACCATCATTCTGTAGGCAGTGTGAGCTGAACCATTCTGTAGGCAGTCTGAACTGAACCATCATTCTGTAGGCAGTGTGAGCTGAACCATCATTCTGTAGGCAGTGTAAGCTGAACCATCATTCTGTAGGCAGTCTGAACTGAACCATCATTCTGTAGGCAGTCTGAACTGAACCATCATTCTGTAGGCAGTGTAAGCTGAACCATCATTCTGTAGGCAGTGTAAGCTGAACCATCATTCTGTAGGCAGTCTGAACTGAACCATCATTCTGTAGGCAGTCTGAACTGAACCATCATTCTGTAGGCAGTGTAAGCTGAACCATCATTCTGTAGGCAGTGTAAGCTGAACCATCATTCTGTAGGCAGTCTGAACTGAATCATTCTGTAGGCAGTCTGAACTGAACCATCATTCTGTAGGCAGTGTAAGCTGAACCATCATTCTGTAGGCAGTGTAAGCTGAACCATCATTCTGTAGGCAGTGTAAGCTGAACCATCATTCTGTAGGCAGTGTGAGCTAAACCATCATTCTATAGGCAGTGTAAGCTGAACCATCATTCTGTAGGCAGTCTGAACTGAACCATCATTCTGTAGGCAGTGTAAGCTGAACCATCATTCTGTAGGCAGTCTGAACTGAACCATCATTCTGTAGGCAGTCTGAACTGAACCATCATTCTGTAGGCAGTGTAAGCTGAACCATCATTCTGTAGGCAGTGTAAGCTGAACCATCATTCTGTAGGCAGTGTAAGCTGAACCATCATTCTGTAGGCAGTGTGAGCTGAACCATCATTCTATAGGCAGTGTAAGCTGAACCATCATT